AAACTGAAGAGAAACGCTGGCAAGACTAAGTCTGGCACAGGTAGCATACAAAAGCCACTGAAAAGAGAACAGCTGTCTCCCAGAATTAGTTCCTTATTTTCAAGCCTGAATGGAGTCTAAAATGTAGACTACTTTTCTGCTTTAAACCAGTTAGCAAACTACCTGCACACATAACATTACTCTATAAAAGACTAACTCAGTAACACCTCTAGGTAATAGCACAAACTGACTATTTTCTTCTTGGATAACATGAATCCTCAAAAAGGTATATGAGGATTAAAACTATAAAGAGAGAATGCTTGATTTTCTATTGAGATCAGAAACTTCAAGATAGTCTAAATTATAATGTATCAGTCACGAAAATTATTACTAGGACAGTTTAGTATAATATTGCTTAAATCAATATCAAATCTGTGACCAAAATAAGTCAGACGGTAAACTGACACAAAACTTCTCTAAGTTCCTAATTTTCATCCCCCTACTTCCTGACCCACCAATTTCACTAATGATTTAAAATTTTCTTCAAAATATAAATCAAGTAAGACATGAGTCTTGAACGGTGCCTATGTTTAGAAAATCAACCACAAATAACTACCAGACAACTGGCAGCTTACAGTTTTACAACAGTATAAACAGATGGACAAGTAAAAATCTCGGTTTCAAAATATATAACCCCTTCCAAACAGAAGATTTCTGGTTTACTTTGCATCAGCCTTTCCTATAGGGGCAGGTTGTGCACTTTTTCGCAGTAAAGGAAAGAACTAACTTATAAGCTTTAAGAACATCTTCTCACTTTCCATAAATAGGTTACAGAATTAATTAAAAGTGCAGTACATCAACTTTGCATGACACCTGCCCTGTCACTAGAGACTAATGTAATCCAAACGTGTGGAAAAGTCAAGTAGTTCTCAGCAAAACTATCTGGATGGATGGATCAGATAACAACTCGGAACTGAACCTGACAGAATCATTTCTACTTAAATGCAGTAAGTACTAAATGGTGTATTCCAAAATACATGGAAAATACTGAATTTTAATCTATTACCAGAATGATTTTTTAAGTACTTTATTTACATAAATGTTTAAATACATCTCACCCGAAGATATTACAAAGACCTACAAAAGGCTACCACTGTAAGTTCTATTTACCATAAATGGAAAACACTATTAGGAAAAGTAAATGGCAAGAAAGACAATATAAATCTTGTATTTAATTTTATTCATTCATATACATCCTCAAAACATATGCTCACATCATAAAATATTGTATTTTATCCTCAAAGCCCTAAAGAAAGCTGTCTTCTTCATACTGTTGAAACTACTCATGTTCAATGCTATAAGATTTATTATTTCTAAAACAAGGATAAAAAGCACAGAAAGTTAAAATTTTCATGAACTAATGAATTTAATCTTACTGGCAAAGCAGTATCAATTGTAGCCTTATATAACACAATTGAAAGTTTAAAAAAGTATTACTAAAAAGAAAAAAGGACGCAAGTGAGAAAAAATTATGAAAAAGGAAATCTGTCTTCAGAGTCCCCACCTTCTTTTGCTTCAGTTATTTTAGTAAGCAAAATAAGGACATCTAAGGAAAGAAGGGGGAATGTGGATAGCAGAAGGAACATTCTACAACTAGTTATTACCACCCTAATGACCAGAGAACTACTCTATTTATGGCTTATGGAGCCCTCCAGAAACAAGGGTAACATCAATTCTCAGCATGTAGAGCAGGAATGTCCAACCTTTTTTGTTCTCTGCTGTATGTTGGAAAAATAAGAGTAGTCTGGGCAATACATTAAATACAGAAACACTAATGAAAGCTGGTGATAAAAAAAAGGTCCGTGCATACTTTCTGTGATATCCAACACAGATAAGCCCAAAGAAAACCAAGTCCTCATAAACTCAGCATGAAGCCTCAGGCACAGGTTGGACACCTGATGCAGAACAATTTCATATGCCCATGAATACCCTATTCCACCACGGGGACTCCTGCACAGACCCTTAATACTCTACCCTTTCTTCATATTGCAAACGCCTTCCCTTTTTTTGCTCCAAATACCCTAAATGAATACTGAATAACTTTTAAAACTTCAATTATTTGGAGGTTAGCATTAATTACTTTTCAACATTTAACTTTATTTTTTTTTTAAGTTCTTGTAGGATCTCTTAGACTTCTACAATAGGCAGCCTGCAAGATGGCTCCCAATGAATCCTGACTCCTGAAATGCACATTCTTGAGTAATCCTCTCCCATACTGAATGCAATTAATGGTTGACCTGAGTAAACAAATAGGACATTGCTGAAACGACAGTATAAGGCTCCTGAGGCTGTGTCATGAAAGGCATTTCAGCCTGCACCTTGCTTTCTTTTCTCTCTTAGAGAAAAGCCAACCTGTGAGAATAGTCAAGAGGCCTATGGAAAGACCAACAGTATAGAGAAAGACTAAAGCCTTTTGTCAACTGGCACTATTTTATAAGTGAACCATCTTTGGAAGACATCACCCACTCCAGTAAAGCTTTCAGATGACCTAGCTGTTATCATGAACGCAAGCTTATGAGACCTGAATCTAGAACCATCCAGTTTAGCTACTCCTGAATTACTAGCCCAAAGACATATGAGATAAACCAATGTTTTTTGTTGAGGTAAATTGTTAAGGAATAACTAATTCACACTACTTCTTGTAAAAACCAATAATATATAAAAAAATGTAAGACATTGGATCAAACCTCTTTATTAAGTTTCAAGCATTTCAGATAAAGGATCCTATACCATGATTTGTTTATCCATTCTCTGTTGACAGGTATTTGCATTCTTCCCATTTTAAAGGTATTAGGAATGATGTTCTGGGAACACTGTTGTGCATACACTGGTGAAAATTTATTTTTCTATTCTCTTAGTTCAATACCTAGGCATGTCTGGGACTAGATAGAGTAAGGCAAATGGGGTGCCCAGGGTACAAAATTTAGTGAGACCCTGTATATAGGAGTACAACAGCTAGATCACGAAATACATGTTTCTGCAACAACTTACCCTTTCAAGTTATAGCACTGAAATTTTACACAGAGTTGCCATGGGTTCTTCTGTCAAGACAGCTACCATTTTAGGCTGGGGGCAGTATCTCATTCCTATAATCCCAGCATTTCGGGAGGCTGGGGAAGGAGGGCTGCTTGTGACCAGTTCAAGATCATCTGGGATAGAGAGACCCCTAACTTTACAAAAAATAAAAAATCAGCCAGGCACGGTTGGTGCATGTGAATAGTTCCAGCTACTCAGGATGCTGAGCCAGGATGATTCCCTGAATCCAGGAGTTCAAGGTTACATTGAACTTTGACTTTGCCACATTGCTTGAGCCTGCCTGACAGTGACAGAGGGAGATCCCTATCTATTTAAAAAAGAGAAATTAACCATTTAAATAAACAGCAATAGTAGGTTAACGTGTCAGTCTACAAAAATAAAACAATAATACACTTACAAAGAAAAATGACCAACATGTTATCAGATATAACATATATTAAATAAAACATTAGGTTGAGAGTAACTTATTCTAAACTGATTCCTAGGTCAAGTAAAATTCCTTATTTTATGGGTATAGGAAATGATTAAGAGACTTGTCCAACACTGCCTAAGTAGTTAGTGGCTTTTTCATCATATCTATTACATTGTAGATCTCTACATAAATTTAACCCAGACACAGTTAAAATATTTTTTTCTTAGATAAAGACATGGCTACAATTGGTTTTCAATTTAAATATCAACTAGCTTTCATAGAGAAGTGTTTTGAGCAGCAGGGGCTAATAAATTGAAGCAAAAATTTGAACTATCAAAGAATAATATATTATTTTTTAAAATGAAAAGATTAGTGACTTTACAAAAATTATAACTACAAAAACATGTTTACTAACTAAGGTTTAGCTATTTTTCTTTCTTTATTTATTTATTGCAGTTTTTGGCCAGGGGCCAGGTTTGAACCCACCATCTCTGGTATATGGGGCCAGCGCCCTACTCCTTTGAGCCGCAGGCACCAACTGGTTTAGCTATTTTTAAACACATAGAAAAGTCACTTTTGGTATCTATAGTCAGAGTAGACATTTCTAATGAAGCAAGTAAGGCTACTGTATATGTGTATTTTTCATTCCAGAGGCCACCCAAAACCAAGGCATTAAAGTAGCAATGATAGTACTTATATTAATTTGTTTTTCTTCTACCAAATCACTACCATTTAAGAGTATAAACATTTTTATTCCCTTGAAAAATATTTTCATGGATTTGATTGAACAGTATCAGACAATGAGAATCAGAATATTTTTTACACTAGGATGAATAATTACAATCCTATAAAGACAGCAAGTATTTGTTTTCAGTTAATATAACTTTACTTATATACTATAGAATATTAGTTCAGATTTTTAAATAATTTTAGATTGATACAGTTTTTAATAGTATTATTTGTTACAAAAATTTTGACTACTACATACTCTCTTTGCCAAGAGATAGAAAGTAAAGCCATGTATTGATTAAATTATTAAGATAGGAAACAAGTTAATTTATTTAAACTGTATCATTAAATTCTACTCAAGCCACAATTATAACCTCTCCCTAATTTTCAACATGGGCTTTCCTTAACACAGTTCACTGTATTCTTAGGAATACTACTTTCCTATTCAAAATTACCATGTGTTCCCTTTAGGAACACTGAAATCTTAATTTCAGTTACTGAATGCTTAGTACTAAGAAGATTTCATTTTTCATATGTATCCTTCCGAAAAATTTTTTGTCCAGGAACTTTGGAGAATAGCTACCTAAAAAGATCAACACCTGAGTATGTTAGCCCAGAATTTCTATGTAGCCTGTGAATTAAGTCTCCTAAAGTGAAAATATGCACCTGGATATTATCATTAAACAAGTAACAGAAAAACCAAAATCCTCCAGTTTCTAGTTTAAATGCCTTTTTATTGGCCAATGTCTGCTTTTCATTGAATTGTCCTGATATTACACAGTACCTCACTGGTTTTCTTTCTCGAAGCAAGTCTTCTAGGCTCCGTTCACAGTGTTCAGCCACCACCACCAGTCTTTCTGAGTAACACAAAGCAAATCCAATTTATATTTGGTTAATAAAACATTTTTATAAGAAAATAACCCACTGAGGGTATTAACATATATCACAAATAAAAATATTTTAAAAGAGCTTTTTAAACTCTATATTAACTATATCAATTACCAAGTATATAAAATACTGGGACAAACGTGTACTGAAACAATATATAATATTAAATAGCAATTCCTTTTCATCTTACTCTTTTTGTTTTTCCTTCTAGAGTTTCTCTCATGTGCATTGGGAAAAACACATGGAAAGGCTGATCTTGGGGAAAAGGAAGCGAATCTCCTTCTGATAAAGACTGGAAGAAGTAAAATAGATTTAGTTATAAAGACGAGTTGAAGGAAAGCGAATCTCCTTCTGATAAAGATTGGAAGAAGTAAAATAGATTTAGTTATAAAGAAATGTTGAAGGAAAGGGAAAATTGGGGAGCTACGTACAGACTGCTTTGAGTCTAAACACAGAATCTTTGAGATGGTATTCAGAAACTTGAGAAAAGTAGAAATGCTCTGAATCATGACTATGGAGAAAGGAACGAAAATTGACTTAGAATTACAGTTGACCATTGAACAAAGTAGTGGTTAGGGATACGAAACCCCCCTGCAGTTGAAAATCTATGTATAACTTCTGATTCCCCCAATACTAACAGCTTGCTGCTGACTGCAAGCCTTCCTAATAACATAAAGTTTGAGTGTCCAACCTGCGGCTCACGGGCTACATATCGATTATTTGAGAATTGCTTTGCTTATCTGTTGCGTTGCATATTGTGAAAAGTATGCATGGATTTTTTTTCTTTTGCTCATCAGCTTTTGTTAGTGTATTTAACATGAGGTAGACTCAGTCTTCTGGTGTGTGGCAGAAAAAAAGGTTGGACACCCCTGAAACAGTTGATTAACACACAAATAGAATGGTATCTACATACATTTTATGCATTCGTCATGTACCTTTTTCCTAATTTTTTTGATCTTTCTAGGCTATGTGGTTCATCTATGGCTTTTTTCAAATTGCTGCAAATCTCCAAAAACTTTTCCTATATATTTATTGAAAAATATCAGTATATTTAAGTGGAGCTACACAGTTCAAACCCATGTTGTTCAAGGGTTAACTGGGGGGGGGGGTTACTGAAAACAAATAATGTAAACCGTGATAGGTACAATTAATATCAACTGTCTAAGACAGCACAGTTCTGAGGGCCAGCCCCTACCTTTGTTTTTCTCTTGTCCATTATCCCTAGTGACTGACATGTTGTCTGACACACAGCAGATTAATAATTTTTTGTTAAATGCGTGAGGCTAAGAGGAACAAAAAAAAGTATAACTGAGTCTACAAGCATTTGGAATTTGACATGGTTCTTTCAGGAATTTGGTTGAAAAGAATTGGGAGTGTTGTATCTATGCAAAATGGGTTCTAAGTAAGATAAGAAAGAATGACGCAAAACGTAATTACTGAGAAAAGACAAAGTACAAGTGGAAAAAGGCTGGGAATAATAATCAAAAAGAGGTGGTTTTGTGAAAATAAAAAAGTAGGATAAATGGGAAAAAATAGACAGGAAAATATGGGGGAAAGAAGTTCAGAGCAGGCGATCTAGCATATGCAGTAAATCAGTAACGACTGGATCAAGGTGTGCTCTTGAATGTGGGAGCACAGAAGGGGGGCACTGGTACAGAGGAAGTCAGTGAGGTGTGGGGCAAGGTATTATCTCGGGTCGTATCTTGGAAGTTAAAACTGTCTATGGAGGTGGCATCACACAGAATGATTTGAAACACAAAAACTAAATATGTTATAAAGGAAAGCTACCATTTTCAGATAAAAGATTCTAAAGGAACAGCAACAGGAGGAAAATTAAACATCAAATGATGAAGCTAAAGAGGGAATTCAGCAGGAATATTTAACAGAAATTTAAAGAAAATTAAATTTGGAAAAAAAGGGGGGGGGGGAAGGAAACCAAGAAATAAAAAGTCAAGTTCTCCGTACAATAAAGAACACACATGTTGAACTCCAAGCAGTAACAACTGTTAAGTTCTAGAAGGAAAAATCACATAAGTATCAGTAAAACCAAGAGCCGCATTCCTTTGTTTTCCATTTACTACATTTTGTCAGTTTTCCTTACACCTTTCCTGTGCCCTCCCCTCAGACTCCTCTGTACACCATCACCTTTTCTACCATGTTAAACCGAGTTAGTTCTAGTCTCGGTCTTCTTATTCTCTCCTCATCTACTGCCATGGTCAAAAAACCTCTCAGAATTTATGGCAAGTCCACAATCTCTTCCAAACTACAGGCTTTTGATAGAAAACTTCTTGCTTTAATGTAAAACTCAAGAATCAAAGCTCAACTTACAGTTTGCTTTTCAAGTCTGATCCCTTTAGTTTAGTACTATTTCAGTTAATGGTATCACTATCCAACCAGCGGCTCTAGTTAGCAACTTAGGAGTAATTTCTCTTTTCTCAAATCCAAACAAGGAGTCTTATTATTTTGACCTCCCAGATATTTCTAAAATTGTATAGTGCAATTTCTGTAAGTTGACAACTCAACAGACTGTTACAAACCAGTCAACTTACACTGGTGGTCAACATAATGAACTGGGCCTCCTGTACTGGTATGTACATGTAGTGCATGTCTGGTCTAGGAAAATTAATTCAACATGAGCAGGTGGTCAATTATGGAGGTTCTACTACAGTTTGTTTCATCTGCCACAATCTGGGTCCAAGCCAGTGTCCTATCTAGATTACTGTAATAATCTCTTAATTCTTATTCCCTTCCACATATTTTCACACTAAAGCACAAGTGATAAATAATATGGAATCTGAATATTGATCTCCCTCTCTACCCTCCTCTCGTATTGTTCACCAACTTCCAGCTACACTGCTCTTCCTTCCCCCTTCCTGACTTAGAGGACATGGGCCCCACAACCTGAAATGATCTTCCTCATTCTCTTCTCCCCATTAACTCCTATCAGGTAACAGAGTGGTTAAGAGCATAGTTTCTGTTTTGTTGGCCTCAAATCCCTGTTTTACTACTTACCAGTTATGTGTCCTCAGAAAAGTCTGCTAACCTCTCTATGCCATCTTCCGTAAGACGGAGAGAACAGGAGCATGGCCCGCATACAGTAGATGTGAGCTTGAAATGTGTTAATATTACACATAGTAAGGACCTAGTGCCTGGGTCACAGGTTCACAGCAAGTAGGAACTATCTAAATAGTAACTATCTAAATGTTAAGTTTTATTATTATTAATCATTCTTCAGACCATGATTAAATGAGACTTTCTCAAGGAATACTTTTCTGTTCCTCCCAAAATTGATTTACTATTTCTGTAATATATTCTACATTGTACTTTTTTGGGTAAAATTTATTTCAAGAATTTGTATTCATTCTTATCTATAATAGTCCCCCCTATTGGCAGTTTTGCTTTCTGTAGTTTCAGTTTCTGGCAGCCAATTGTGGTCCAATAATATTAAATGTAATAATCCAGAAATAAACAATTCATAAGTTTAAGGTTGCATGCCATTTTGAGGAGTGTGATGAAATTTCTTCTTGGCAATTTAAACCAGCCAAAAAAAAAAAAAAAAGGCTTAAAGTGCCTCCTTCAAGTGAAAAGGTGAAAGTTCTTGATTTGGTAAATAAAGGAAAAAAGTTATAAGCTGAAGTTGCTAAGATATATGGTTAGAATGAATCGTCTGTCTGTGAAATTGTGAAGAAAGAAAGAAATTCCTGTGAGTTTTGTTGTAGCACCACAAACTGCAAAATTCACGGCCACAGTTTGAGCTAAGTGCTTAGTTAAGATGAAAAAGGCATTATATTTGTGGGTGGAAGATGTAAACACAAACATGTTCTGACTGATGACCATCAGGCTCAGTTCTATTCCAGGTTTCAGGCATCTACAGGTAATGAGGTAAGGAAGGCTACTGGGACATGTTTTTTCTCTACCAGATAATACCTTTCATGATGACAGGAACCATAGTGGTTTGTTCATTAGTGCATCACCAGTGTCTAAAATGTCACTTAAAACATACAGGCACGTAACATACATACACTTACTGAATGGATTAAGTTGAGCAAAGCCATGACATGGCCATTAGAAATGAATAAGAGCTAATGTGAGATCTGTCATGAATAGAAAATGATACGCATACACAAGCAGGCGTCCTCAAATTATCACCCGCGGGCCACATACGGCCCGCTGAGGACATTTATCCAGCCAGCTGGGTGTTTTTGCCACTGCTGCCTGTCCTGCTTAATAGCTGACTCGTCCCGGGGCCCACGGTCTGGCCCTCCAACAGTCTGAGGGACAGTGAACTGGCCCCCTGTTTAAAAAGTTTGAGGATCCCTAATTAGAGTATAACTATAATAGGTAGTAAGTAACTCAATTTTAATATCAGCATTTATTAAAATAACTGTGTTCTATTAATTAACCATTTTAAACTGGATAATTTATTAATCATCAACATTTATTAAAATGTGTATGTTCTATTAATTAACCATTTTAAATTGGATATTCATAATTCTCCAAATCTGTAAAATATTTCCAAAGAGTTTAGCATGACTAAAATTTTTCAGGATTCTTCTTGAAATGCCTTGTGTTTGCTAAAGCGTCAAGAGTCTATAAAACTTTTAAGCATTGTTTTAATACTGTGGAGCCATAATCCTTGACACATTATCAAAATTTCTCCCAGAGGTAATGGAGTTTATACCAAAACAACATTTCCAGGATCAACCAGGCTTTTCAAGAAATCACTAGAGAGTCTTCAATCTGAAACTCTGCACCACTGTTTGAAAATAACTTCTGTTTGTTATAATAATATAGTTTTGGGTGGTGCCTGTGGCTCAAAGGAGTGGGGCGCTGGCCCCATATGCAGGAGGTGGCAGGTTCAAACCCAGCCCCAGCCAAAAACTGCAAAAAAAATAAAATAATTAATTAAAAAATATATATATAGTTTCACAAAATAAAATATTTGAGAATCATAACATCCCAAATATAAAACATCAACGTAGTGGCATTATTTTTTTTTAAAAAATGTGACACAGAGATCAACTTTAAAGAGTGGAACCATACGAGAACTGTGAAATAATTTTCTTTCTAACAAGGATTGATGAACACTGATATCATGTACTATGTCTAGCCTACACTGTATATTCTAAGTCAAATCTAGGAAACTGAAGGTAGTACAAAATTAAGCAAGAAAGATACAAAATAAGTTGAATAAGGGATGAGGGAAATTAAAAAAATGATTTTTAGAGAAAGAAGAAATAAATTGTGAAGTCTTAAAATAATTTGAAGGGTTCTTAGACTGCAGTAACTTCATCATTCTTTTGCTCATCACCTATAAAATATAAAATTTACTTAAATGTATATACAGTTTAAAACCCAGAAGAAAAATACTCTGCTTAAATAACAATAATGGTAACAGGTTACTGTGACAGTTTTGTGAGTCAACCTGACTAGGCCATAGACCAATGGTTCTCAACCTTCCTAATGCTGCTACCCTTTAATACAGTCCCTCATGTTGTGGTGACCCCCAACCATGAAATTATTTTCGTTGCTACTTCATAACTGTAATTTTGCTACTGTTATGAATCATAATGTAAATATGATTTACATTATGCATTATGCAGGATGTATTTTCATTGGTTGTGACCTACAGGCTGAGAACTGCTGCCAGATGCTGTTTATTCAATCAAACACTAATCTAGATGCTGTGAAATATTTTGTAACTAATTAAAGTCAATAATCAGTTCACTTTAACTAAAAGCGAGTATCCTAAATAATCCAGGTGGTCCTGACTTAATCAGTTGAGCAGCCTTTAAGAGCAGAATTGAAGTGCCAAAGGAAGAATAAATTTCACCTGTGAACTATAGCAGCTGCTCCAGTCCAGGCAGCCTGTCCTTCTTGATGGCTGCCCTTTGGATTTTGAACTTGCCTGCCTGACCACACGGTCATGCATGCCAATGCCTAGTAATTAATCTCTTAAAATATATCCTACTGTTTTGGTTTCTCTGAAGAGCTGGAATGATACAAATACTTAGTCTGAAGTTTATATACCAGCAATATAGAATAAATGATCTTACAGGTCCTTAATAATTCTATTATTCTCTACCTGAATTTCAAATCTGTCAGTTAAAATAATTGTATTCTTAATTTCACCAGCAATCATGGAAAGGTTTCTGGATAATCAGTACCAAATAAAAAGGAATGCACTACCATTTATAATCTTCACTCTATTTCCAAGCACTGCTGAGCTTTCAAGCTCAAAAGACTAATATCAAATTTGTTGCCACAAGGATTTTCACTCTTTATAGGCTTTTTTCTTAGAATTGGATATTCTTTGACTTCTAAAAAATAATCCAAGCTCTCAAATTCTAATAAAATGTCTACTGTTCTTGAGATTAAACACTTCATCCTCCTGAATTAGCAGAAAATAAAATCATCTTGAATTGGTTTTGAATGATCTATAGAAAACACTGAAAGCCTGACTTTTGAATTAACATAACATGTGAAAACATAATTAAAACAGACCACATGTCACATGTGACTTCACAGAGGGGATAACAAAGTGGCGGGGGTCGGGGGGGACTAACAATGCCAAGATATCTGCATAGCAAGAATAGAATAAAGGGGAAAAAGTAGAACTGAAAATCGAAATTCTTTGAAAAGTCACAAATCAAAATCACATAGTATTACATCTTGAAAGATACATGTTATTCACTAAGGAGATTGGTGAATAACATGTACTCATCTTCTTTCATGTATTAGTGAAAACTTCTCAAAACTTTCAAACTATACAACTGAAATGATTGAGAAGCCTTGGAATAAACAGATTTTACATAAA